GAATTGACTATACTTAAAGTATTTAGGATAGTTTTTGCCATGTAGTAAGAACTACCTTATTGTTGGTTATAATGTCACCTGATATAGTAATAATATTCTCTAAACTAGAATAATCACAGAATCGTAGAATATTCTGCAAAGTCAATATGAACTGAGTCTATATTTCATTCCATTTCATTTATGTCCCTCTCAAAGTAAACAAATAAACACAAAAGCCATACACACAACTGGTTTTACAGCCAGACAGCCTCAAGCCAAAGGATTCAACCCAAGTCGATGGGATATATCTGCAAAGCCACAAGAAAAGAGAGAGACAAGAGGTGCTAAGCTTCAGAAGCTGCAGGATCCTGATTCCAGGCATGCTCACTTGTGAAGGAGCAGGCGTGCTGTCTCCACTAACAGGACCCCTTGGCTCAGGTCTGGGTTTTGTCCCTTAGGCCAGCGTGACTCAGCCCCAGCCTGGAGCAGAGGAGCCTTCAGGCCCCAACATATGATGAAGGAGGGTGAGCTGGGCTGGCTCCAGCCTCAGCTATGAGCAGCATTTCTAGACACTCATTAGCATCTTCTCAATCTCTTTCCTTTTTCCTGCGATGCTGGGTAGGGGGAATTAGACTGAAGCTCTGTTTGAACTCCACCTTTATGGGAGATGAAAAGGGTAGAAGAAATTCCAAGCTGTCATTTGGGGGAAAAGAGTGGATGATTCCATTACCGATTCTCTTAGCTTTTAATATCACTATGACACAACAGTTTCAGATCTATGTATAGAGCAGCCTATTCAAATCCATTTAGAATATAGGATAACAATGCCAAAATAATTTCAATGTAAGTCTTTGATCTCCTCATTATAATGCCATTACCATACCATTATTAGCTAAGATTACAATGACAAATCAATTTTAATTGAAGTCTTCGGAGATGCCATTTATAATGCTATTATAATGTGAATTTGCAATGGGAAAGTTACTTGAGCAAGCTTGTTGAAACAGAGCTATAATGCCACTATAATGGAAAATTTTGATGGCGAAATTATTCCTAGTCCCTAGGGATTGGTGATTATCATATAAAACTACTAACCATGAAAATGATGCCCCCCCCATAATAAGTCATGCAATAGATAGTATCTACAGATCAAAGAATATCTCATAGAATGAGTTCACAAAAATCATAGAATTGTAAAGCAGAAAAATGGTCCTTATTTTATAAACAAGAAAGCAGACACAAAGTGTGATAAGACTTGCCTAAAGCCATGCAGTGAGTTGCAGAGCCTGGACTCAATCCCAGTCCTCTGACTTAGTCTTCAGGACTTTGACTCCTAGACAGGACTTCAGCACTTTTAAAGAACAGGGCTCTAGGAAAACAGAAAGATGGCAAGGTTAGCAGTAGGCAAGAACCACAGGAAAATTTCCAGATCATGAGGATATTGTAAGATACTCATTTTGACCTAGAAGATCCTAGAAGAATTTTCAATATCTGGTGATTCCATGATTCCCAGTGTTGGAAAGTTGGTCACATGGAAGTTGGGATTTTATTCTGGCTCCACATGAGGGACTGTTTCTGCCCTGGAAGAGAAATTTAAACTCTTTTGGCTTTGAGTAGATAAAGACAGAGAGGACAAATGATCACATTGCACCAAGGAGTTGCTTAATTTAGGCAACTAAGGACTTGGTAAAAATAAAAAAATCAGTTAGACTAGTTGTTTGGCTGAAGAGAGTGTTTAATTCAATCACCCTGGGAGGCCACTGCCTCAAATTAGCTCATTAGAGTATCTTTCTTCCCTAGAGCGAGCCTTGTGTTGGCTTTCCCCCTTTTATCTTAATTTGTCCAAAACACAGCCAGCCTCCTCTCATCTGAAAAAACTAAGCTTCCACTGATCCCTGGTCATGCCATCATACTTCTCTCGCTTTACTCTTCTGCTCTGGCCCACCCTTTAGTGGAAGGTACAGCACTGTGTAGGGAATGCGTTCTTTCCCCATGCCTGTGTCTTCCGTGGACTATTCTACCATGAGCCAGACCTCCCGGCCCATTTTCTCTCTACTTGTCCATTCCTTAACAATACAGAGCAGCTAACATTTTTAGAAAGCGTGCAATGTTCCAGGCACAGTGCTAATGACCTTAATTAGCAAATCCAGCTGAAATTATTACAACATAGGAACCTGGAATCTAGTAGAGTAATTTATCCAACGTCATGTGGACCTTGGTTTGTTGGGTCTCAGAGTTTTAAACTCTTGGTCACTTTGTAGCACAGACTGAGCTTAGCTTAGCACAGCGTCTGGGCACACAGGCTCTGGAGCTAAGCAACCTTGTTCACATCTTGGCTTTGCTACTTACTAGTTGTGCTATATTGGCCAAGTTACTTAACCCCCACATGACTCAGTTTCCTTATCTGTAGAACTGAGGCGAATAGTAATAGTTTAACATGTTATTTAAAGTTATTAGGTACAGAACACTTGGAATAGTGCCTGATGCACAGATGCAGTCTGCAAATGACACTTTCTGCTGCTTCCCTTGTCAACTACGTGACCAGGCTTGCCAGATTCTGTGAATTTTGGGGTAAGAATGCAGTAAATTGGTGATTTCCAAGAATGCACTATCCCATGCTAAGTGTGGATATATACATTTGACTTGAGTGCACAATTTAAGAGGGAAAGCTGGAACTTTGGGGAGGCTATTAGCAGCTTCTGGCATGCAAATGCCAATTTTGAAGGGGCAGGATTTGAGAGGATGAAATCAGTGACCATCCTGAGTGGGATGAAAATCAGTTTCACAAAGTCAAGGCCAAAATGTTAGTGTGCATTACACAGCTATGGGAAAAGCAGTGTAACTAATTATCCTGGGAGGGGTGGCAGTCGGTTAAGCTTTAGACAATCTCAATAAAATTCCTTAGACCCGTGTCCAGCAGGCCACTGGCAGAACAATGGCTCAGGAATGTCAGAATTCTGAGTTCTCATCCTAGCTCAGCTACTGATTTGTTCTGTGACCGCAGTCACTTAATCCCCCCATGCCTCTGTTTCCCTGCCTGCCAAATACCAGCTGTCTCCCTGGGTGATTTTGAAGGATAACCAATAAAAAGGATTAGAGACAAGAACCACCATCCAAATTGTTAATAAAAGTGGTATTTTGTACTCAATTATTTGCATCTCAACTCCTTACATTCTCTCCTTGGCATCCTCCACCCTCTGTCTTTCTTATTCTTGGACTTTTCTCCCTATCCCCCATGGAGAAGCAAAAATGTGATATATTATATATGGTACAGTATCTTGCAGTGATAGTGATGTCTGGATGAAGGACAATTGGCCATGCTGTGACTTTTCAAGTAGTTTCTGTCCAAGGGAGAAATTCACGTAAAAGGTGCCCCCAGCCCAGCAAACAAAGAAGCAATAGAGAAAAATGCCAGAGCTGCTCTGGGTCTCACAATGCGACTTGGGTGTCTGTGTTAGGCTGGCCAGTGCCTGAGCAAAGGTAATAAGAAGATTCTGAACGTGGAGAAAAATAATAAAATTTCCAGCATGTTGGAAATTAGAGTTAACTCCAAGAGCATAAATAATGAACACAACATTGATTGAAATAAATGATGTAGTTTGCTTTAGAAATGTTATTTGAATAACTGATATTGTACTTTGTCGGGCTATGGTTTCAAATGCATTCGATTATACATTTTAATGTTTTCCCCCAAACAGTCTTTCAAATCAGTACAAATTGCTGTATGTAGCAGGCATGTCTTGATCTTTAGCTGCCATGACAACAGGATACAGAGAAATGCATTTTCATAACAATTGCTAGCAATGTTTAGTATCACTGTTACTTTGTGTCAGGGAACAGCTGGCTATGGGAAGAAAATAGCATTGTTTGCTTTCCTTGAAAGCTTTTGTTGTAATAATTGAAAAAATAGGTAGAAAAATTGTTGTTTAGAGGAAAAGTAGGTAGATGGGAGTAAAGCCTGGAGTTGGGGGTGGGGGGCAATGGATGTGAGGAAAAAGGGAGAGGGAGAAAGAGAGACTCCTGTCTAGAAAGGAGTGTTACACCAGTGGGTGCTAGTGTAAAGCTACCTGGAAAGTAACTGGGTGATAAGATCAGCAAATTGAGTCAAATAATGTGATTTTAAGTGATATAATCAATTTTTACAAACTAGGAGAAATATATATATGCATTTCTTTCTCCTTCCTGCTTGTTTTAACCCAAATATTCTAAAATAGCTGAGAGAAAGCAAATTTGAGGAATTTTAGAAAACAGCACATTAGTTTTGGACAATATACTTAAAAAAAAATTCTAGGAAATCACGTGCTCCAGAGAAAAGGCAGTGGAGGTGCTTCCTTCTTCTAGTTCTCTGAAATGTATGAGGTCTCAGGTCTAGCGCCACCATGGTGGAGGGGAAGCTTCCTTGTAGCCTGGTGGCTGTCCTCAACTGGGGAGGTTTATTTGTTTTGTTTTGTTTCTACCTCTCTGCATTTCAGTTTCTTTAATTTTAAATTAGGGTTAATAAACCTTAATTGGTTTGGGGGAGGGTTAAAGGAGATACCAGATAAGGCATGCAAAGGGCTTAGCAAAGTGCCTGCCACGAAGTGAATGTTCAAAATGTGACAGATACCACTATTATTGCTACAGGATCATTTAACCAATGGAGAACGTCTCAATTATTCTATTATCTCCTATATCAAGCTCTTAATGTTCCTTAATACTAATTTTTAGAGTTATTAGGGTAATTAGATGATTCTCAGAGTACTAGTGCCCTAAAGTTTTTGGATTAGTCACGGTCCTGGCAGGAAACAGAATTTCCTTCGAAAAGATTTGACGGAAGAGAGTTCAATGAAGTGACCATTACAGAGGTGTAGGCTGAGCTGAGGGACTCATAAACGATGGTGAGGTCTCCAGGGACCAGCAAGAGAGGAAGCCTGAAGCGCAGGGGGAAGAAAGTCACTGGAGCCCAGTTGGGGCGGGGCCACCAAGGAGAGGCATCCACTTCCGGAAGCACAGCTCTACCGAGGTTGGGGAAACCGGAAGTGTCTTCTCTCACTGTCTGGTCTCCTGCTGGTGCTTCCCACTGGCTGACTCTAACTGGAAGAGAGCAAGGGGTTGGGGTGACCAGACTACGGGGTTGGGATGACCAGACTACGGGATTGGGGTGACCAGACTACGGGGTCAGCTCCTCGGAGCCTTAGAGCCGGGAGAGAAGGGCAAAGAAAGGGTCTGCAGAGGCTAATGGAAGTGAGAACGACCAGCAGCTCAGTGTTTATCTGTACCTAGTGTGATTTTTGGCTTCCAGTGTAGGCTTTTAAAAAATTGCTGTAGAACTGTATTATTTTTATTTTCTGTACGTTATTCACTTACCTCTGATAAAATTATAAGTTCACTAAAGGCAAGGACTGTAGCATATTTCTAGTCCTCACAAAGCTTAGCATAAGGCAAAAATGGGAATAATAGTGATAGTCATTATTAATATAGCACTTACTATGTATCAGGTATTAATCTAAGTATTATATATATATATATATTTAATTGATTTAATTCTCACAACAACCCTGTGGAAGGTACTATTATTACTCTCATTTTGCAGACAAGAAAACTGAGATCCAGAGGGCAGTTAAGTAGGAACTGAACAACAAATGTGCTTCTTCTTAGTGTCTGTGTCTACAGAGATGGTTGCTTTCATCAAAGACTCTAAAGACACAGAAGATGAAGGATGGGATAGAAACTCAAGGTGAGGTAAGCTGGATAGATTTCAGAACCTCCTTTTTTTGCTGGAGGAAGGGATTACTAAAGTGCGACCATTTTAAGTGGTTAATGAGTTATGATTTTACACCTAAAATACACAGGGAGTTTTATAACATTGAACTGGATACAGGGAGAGTCATTCCTTTTTCAGTTGCCTTTCAATTCTGATTACATTAAGGAGAAAGTCTCAGATGGGTGCTAGTCTTTAACACCACAAGGAAAATCTTTTTTACAAAGAGACCAAGCCTCAGACTCAAAGCCTTTGCAGGCAAATGTTTATTTTATTTTATTTTTGTATTTTATGATAGAGGTGATATACATTTTCTCCTTTTAATACAAATTTATTTAAATTTAATACAAATTTATTTAAATTTAATACAAGTTTATTTAAATTTTAAATACAAATTTATTTAAAACAGTGTTTATTTAGATTAAAAAGAAAGTGTCTTTAATAAAAATATATAGGTAATAATTGTGTTATGCAGAATATAGGTGGTATTCTATTTAGGCAAAATTTTGTTTTAAATTAATTTTTTTCTTTTTTATCTTTACCTTACAGCTACAGCTTCAGCATAAAGGATAGGCAAGATTTTGGGAAATATTTATTTTAGAGAAAGAGACTGTAAGTGGGGAAATTGCATCATAAACTCTGGACTCCTTTAGCTTAATGAATGTTGCTTTGGGATAACATGAAAGCTTCTTTCCTTTTACCATTTTGTCTTACTTCTCATTTTCACTTACCTCTTGAATAAATAAACTCCTGTTCTGAACACTGAGGACCTCATCAGATGAATTCATAGAAATCTTAAAAACTTTTGTCAAAGACTCCTGTAGGCTGAATATATGACTCCCCAAAATATCATGTCCAAATCCCTGGAATCTGTAAATGTTACTTTATATGGCAAAGACTTTGAAGATATGATTGAGTTAAGCATTTTAAGATAGGAAGATTATCTTGGATTACCTGTGTGGGCCCTAAATGCAATCACAAATGTCCTTACAAGAGAGAGGCAGAGGGAGATTTAATACAGAGTGGAGGAAGCAATGTGAAAATGGAGCAGAGAGAAATTGGAAGATTCTGACCTAGAAAATAACAATGATGTGGCTACAAGCCAAGAAATGTGGGCAGTTACCAGAAGCTGGAAGAGGCAAGAAACAAATTCTTCTCCAGAGCTTTCAGAGCTAGCACAGTTCTGCTGACACCTTAATTTTGGCCTTGTGATACTGACTTCAGATTTCTGGCTTCCAGAACTGTGTGAGAGTAAATTTCCATTGTTTTAAGCCACCAAGTTTGTGATAATCTGTTACCATGGGAAACCAATCTTGTTGAAACTAACACAAAGATAATATTAATAAAGGGCTAGAAAGAAGATACAAGTAGGCCCAGAGGCCAATTCTTAAAGGACAGCCATTGACCATGGTGTTACAACTTGAATATAGGGACTTTGAAGCTTGCTTTTATATACTGATTGTCTTCAGAATACACAAATTTATATTATTTTTTCATTTTTTCCTATTCTGGCCAGTAGAATAAGTCAATGAAATTGGTTCCTGGGTCACTACTTTCTTTTAATTCTTACCTCCTCCTGAGACCTTCATTGGGTCCTTCTTTCTCTGTTTTCTCTTTAAACCTTGGTGCTTCCTTGGGCTCTTTTATCAGGCCTCCTTTTACTCTCCACACTTTCCAATGATCTCAATGACTCTCGTGGCCTCAACAATCATCTCAATGACCAAATAGATTTTTATCTATAGCACCCTCTGTCCTATTCTCTATGTCTGATCCTCCACTTCGATGCTGCATAGATATCTCAAACACAGGAAGACTTTAAATGAGACCTTATCATTTTACTGATTTCTCGAATCCCCAAATGAAGAACTTGTTCCCCTTTCCAAATTTCTTATTTTGCAGAATAAAACCAAGATCTATCCAGTGGCCTGAGATTGATTCTTTTTTTTAAATTAAAAAATTCTTTAAAAACTTATAATTGTGGTAAAATATACATAACATAAAATTTACTATCTTCACCATTTTAATGTGTATAGTTCAGTGATGAGTCCATTTGTATTTCTGTGCAATCATCATCACCCTCCATCTCCCTTTTCATCTTCCCTAACTGAAACTCCATACACATAAGACAATAGCTTCCCAAACCCCTCCCTCAGCCCCTGGCAGCCACCACTCTGTTTTTTTATTTCTGTGGATTTTGTTACTGAAAACTCAGCACTTGTTCTAAAGACCACATCAGAGAATGAGAACAAATTGTTTGAGGAGGAAGAAAGAGAAGTTTATTACTTTGCTGGCAAAGGAGGAAAAACGGTAGACCTTCTCGCCTCAAACTCCAAATTTTCTGAACACAAGCAGAAATCCAGAACTTTTAAAAGGAGTACCCCTCAGTTCTAGGCTATTGTGTTTATCCTAATTGTTACATGTCTGCCAAAGACAAAACCTGTTATCTCCACCAGCCATGCCACCTGCAATGGCTGCGGTATCTCTTTTAACAAAGAGCTTCACCTGCCTCAGGGATGCAGGCCAGGCTGTAGTTCCCGAAAAGAATGGAGGACATTTTAAAGGACAGAAAATATTCTTTTTTCTTCAGGCCCTTTCCTCTGTTACATATTCCCCACCCTCAATCTTACACTTCCATATCTATGGGAGGAGGAGAAGCTACTCTGTTACAATGTGACCACTTTAGGTACCTCATATAAGTGGAATCATATAGTATTTGTCCTTTGTGACTGGCTTATCTCACCTAGAATAATGTCTTGAAGGTTCATCAATATTGTTTTATAGCATGTGTCGGAATTTCCACTTTTTAAAGGCTAATAGTCCATTGTGTGCGCATAGATATAATATACCATATTTTGTTTATCTATTAATGTGTTAATAGACCCTTGAGTTGATTTCACCTTTTGGCTATTGTGAATAATGCTGCTATGAATATGGGTGTACAATGATCTGTTTGAGTCCCTGTATATACCCAGAATTGAAATTGCTGGGTCATATGGTAATTTTTTGAGGAATGGCCATACTATTATCCATAGCAGCTGCACCATTTTGTACTCCCACCAGCAGTATAGAAGTGTTCCAATTTCTCCACATCCTCACTAACACTTGTTATTTTCTGCTATTTGATAGCGGCCATCCACATATCTATAAAGTGCTAGATCAATTCTTGAGCCTTTCTTCATCTAAGCTCTTATACATCCAATCTATCCTGTCCATTCTCCTTGTATTTTTATCTCCTAAATATTGTTCCTTTTCCCTAAATAATCACTGCCGTTTGCTGACCTAGGTCTTTACCATTTCTTGGGAGATAGTAGCCACATTCAATTCATCCTCTACGGCATGGTCACAATCAACTTTCAAAACCCTCTAATTAGTTTGTTTAAAACCTTTCAATGGCTGCCTTTGGCCTTCAGGATAAAGGCCCCTTAGCATGATCTGCTAGCTTGTTTGGGATCTGACCTCTACCTTCTCCCTTCATTGTTTGCTACTCTTTCACCTGTTTTACGGTCCAGCACATTGAATTACTTGCAGCCATTTATTGCTCTTACTTTCCACGTGAAGCAACCTTTGCATATACAGCATTCCCTGTTGTATTAGAGGTAGTGAGAAATACATCTCATGAGGACAAGAACAGTGTCTATTATATTAATAACTCAGTATTATAACTCTGGTGGGCTGTATGCCGTTATATGACAAACACTATGCTCACCCTTTTACCTACTTTATCTTATTTAACTCTCACAACCATCCTTGGAGGTACTGCGATTGTCCCAGTTTTATAGATGAGGACACTGAGGCTTGACGTGATTGAACATCTTGCCCAAGCCAGACATCGTGCACATGGCAGAGGCAGGAACCAGGTGCAGAGTTGTCTGATTTGAGAGCTCACACTTTTCACAGTTGCTTTAGTCTCTTCATTCAGGCTGATATGATAAAACAGCATAGTCTGGGTGGCTTATAGACACAGAAGTTTATTTCTCACAGTTTCAGAGGCTGAAAGTCTGATATCAGGGTGCCAGCATGGTCGGGTTCTGGTGAGGGCCCCTTCTGGTTGCACATGGCTGACTGGTTCTGACATTTTGGTTTGTATTTCTTCCTCAAAAGAGATGATCTAAGATCACATGACATCCAGTTTTAAGTGACAAACAGAATTAGGAATGAACAGACACACATCTACTAAACTAAAGTGCTTTTACACAAGTAACAGAACATTGCTGCATTCTGGAACCATCCACGCTATTAAGAGGAAAATCTAGAAAGGCAATATGTTACATCTGGCTTAGAGTTTGCCCAATAACTTTAGTCATTTAAGGACCACTATCAAGACTTTTGCAATATCGAGATATTATCAATACTATTATGTTCTTAAAATAGTTTTAAAAAAGTCAACCAACTTTTATACCTTGGCAATGAAATTCATAATGGTTTTGAAATTATTATATATTTTTCTATGCCTTGAAATGGATTTTTAACTTTTATTTCTTGATGAATACATTTTGTTGAAATATTATATGAATATTTAAAAATGGTACAAGTCATAATCTGTAGAGATTGCTCAATTTTTACAAAGTGAATAAATCCATGTAACCAGCCCTTGATTAAGTAATTAAACAGGACCAACACCCTGGAAGCCTCCTGTAGACTCTCCACGCAAATGCTGTTCTGAATTTTGTCATGTCACAAATGCTATTCTGAATTTTGTCATGTCAATCAGTTTTGCCTGTGTTCTGAACTTTATGGAATTCTGTAGTATATGCTCATTCGGGTTTGACTTCTTTTATTCAGCATTATATTTGACCATGTTATTATGAATAGCAGCTGTCTTTTTCTTTGCAGCATGTTTGTGATGGGCATGGAGATATATCAGTAACATTTTTTTGAAGGAAGAACTTTTTGCCAGAACTGCTGGGAATGCTGTCCATAGAGAGCCGTCTGCCCCCAGCTTCTTCAGGGTTTGCCTAAGCTGCAGAAAGCCTCTTTGCCCAATGGCACACTTTCCTGGGGTGGCCAACATCCAGTGACTGATCATGGTCACTTTGGTTCCACCATGGGGTAATTCTGACAGGTCACATGTGCTATATATTGGCTGGGCTTTAACAAGCCTGCATTGCAGTTCAACTTGTCTCTCCGCCTCATCCTATTTCCTCCCCCTCCCTTCCACAGGGGTTCATCCCTAATGAATACCCTGCATGTTAAACTCTGTTTCAGCATTTGAAACTCTGTTCCAGCATTTCAGAGAACCCACCGTGCGACAGTTGGTATTGGGAGTGGTCTGATAAAGCAGGCAATAAGATAGGGCCAGGGAGTTGGATCGCTTGCCATCTGGCTGGCAATGAGGACTTTATCACTGGTGGTTGGTGGAGCACAGCCAGCCTGTGGCACAAATTGGTAGGTCCAGTTATTAAAAGTCTTAGCAATGATGAATTGGGTTGGGTGGGAGTGCCATGCATCAGGTGTTTGGGATGTATGTGGGAAATCAAAACTAGGAAAACAATGGAGTTAGGTGACTATTATTAAGTGCCAGGGGATGCAGTTATATTGTCAGTAGCAGGGCTAGAGTAGTGGCAGGAGGTAGTGGTAGAGGCTAGAGGACAGGGACTGACCTCAAAGAGTCAGGGAGAAGGTTAATAAAACATGGCATCCCTAGACAAAGCGGATATGCAGTCCATAAGTATTGCTCAGCTTGTACCACCGTAAGAAATCATGGGTGGATGACCAGAAGAGGGCTGAGGGCAGTGACCCTAATAAAAACCCAATATTCTCTTGCCTTGTTTTTTTTCAGACCTGAGCCAGTTTTTAGACTCAGAACTCAGTGACTGAAGAACAGGTCTTCAAGAAGTAGGACTCTGCAACCCCATTGCAAGGATTCACGGTAATGATTCTCCCCATCTTCTCCAAATGGGCCTACAGCCACTAACCAGGGTGACTGCACGCTGGGGACAGGGGAGCACACAACCATTCTGAGAAATGTTAGACTTATTGTCTAAGTGGATGTTGTCACCCAGATATCCATAGCGTCACTTTGGTCCTCCTTTTAGAGAGGGGGCATATGAGGACCAGGCACTAAGTGGGGTCCACTGCATCTGCAGGCCCAACCCATGGTTATTTCCCTGTCCCCAGATGTATAGTTAGGACTGATGTACTTGGCAGGTGAGTCCTTAAACTGTGGGGTAGGAGCTGTCATAATGGAGAAGGCCCTTGCCCCCCTACCCTGGCTGAGATAGTAAATAAAAACCAGTAAAACAATAAACAGTAGAATCGGGGGGAGGTTGGTGGAAATTAGTGTTACTCTTAAGGATTTAAAAGATAGAGGGCTGGTGATATTATCAATTTCTTCTCAGCGATTGAACTTCATTTCAGACATAATTTTTAGGATGATCGGAAATGGTGTCCCAACTAGGATTCATTCTCAGCAAAAGCGTGATACAGGAGAAATTTATCTTCAGTGCATAATAGCCTTTTTGATCCCATTTATCCTCCTGTGCACACACATCTGGTATAAGGGAAAGAACTCGGGCTCTGAAGTCAGATGTGGGTTTAAACTCTGGCTCCTCCCCTTGGCAGCTGCGTGATTGGGCAAGTTACTTTAATTCTGTTTTAATTCCCTCATTTGTAAAATGGGCAAATAAAACCCTTACGGAGTTGCAGGAATTGGAGGTAGTATACAAAGCCACCACAGGATCTGGTAAGGAATTAGCTCTCAATAGATGATAATTTAAAAAATTTTTATTTATTTATTTTTAGTTGTTTCTTTCCATTTTTATATATCTAGCCTATCCTTTCAGGGAAGAAAGCAGTTTGATTAATGCTCTTCCATTAAGATTTTAGGAATTTAATGTGTCAGTTCTTCCCAGGGAAATTGCATTTTAAGAAAGGAGGAGCTCTGATATCTGAATAAAGGAATGACATGCTGATGGAAGGCATTTTGGGGAATGGGGCCCTTAGATTAAATCCTGTAAAAGAAAACATTCTTCATGTCTGGGTAAGGTTGGCTCTCCTGGCATTCAATGAAGAGGGAAGATAAAACTTTCCACTTAAGAAGGAGGACTGTCCCCACCTCCCTCCCCACCACCCATGTTCAGAAGAGTTTGCCTACATCTTGCTTTTTTTCAAGTGGGACAACTGAAATATCTTCTAGCTATTTGTTCCAGTAGTTCAATATATATTCTTGGTTATATCAAATATTTGATATTTTAGGAAATCAGCCTTGTTAAATTAAAGTGGATAAGATGGCATTTTAAGGTCACCTTGGTATGATCAAACATGATGCTGACATTTACAATCCATTTCCATTGCTTCTCACATGTTTCCTTGTCAGTTAAGTCCAGACTCTTCAAATTTAAAGAAGTTTCAAATCTAATAATGCAATTATAAATATTGTACCTGAATTACTAACTGCCCACTGATTTCCAAGTCACAAAAATCTTCATATGTCCTTTCCCATCATTTAAAAATAATTTTCAATGGTTTTATTACAACGTTACCTGCATAAAGTACAAACATGTATAAATATCAAATGTTTTATATACTCTTCAAGTTTATGGCTTTTATTCATCTAAAAGCCAAAATAGATTTACACATTAAAAAACCCTATGGATTAAGACTTGTAATTAGCAACATTAATTTAAGGTGGTAGAAAACATAGTTTTGCAGAAAGCACATTGTCATATACAGAGTGAATTTGGGCCACACTGCTGTGGTCCAGTTTTTTTTCCAGGTCAGGATTCTTTCATTTGTGTGGGCTGAGTGATGACTCATTTCTGACACAACATGTCTCCATTCTAACTACTGGGGAAACTTTACCTCACAGTTGGCCATGTCCCTGTCAGCTTTCAGGTTGAAAGCATCTTTTAGGAATGAAGTCTGCCTTTATTCTTCCTTTGATAGGTCACTATTAACGTAGAGCCCAAACATCAACGTAGGCACAGAAATTGTGTGGGGAGATTCAGGTCAAAGGTGGATAGGCAGGTGATTCACATGTTAAAATGCTTAATATTTACAAATGCTCATAAAACACAACTTAAAATACCATACAGATATTTAAGGGCTGAGTATATATCCATAGTCCCCTTGAGGAATCCATGGACTCCTATTTAAGAAATACTCACCTATAGGATATAAATTAAACAAAATATAATGATATAACTCTTGATAAAATACACAATGAGAAAAACATGGGAATTTTCCTATGATTGGGAAAGTAAAAATCTTCTGGGTGAACTCTTGCAAATGTTTTTAAAATAATTTAAATTGTTAAATACTCTTAAAAAATTGTGGCAAAATATACATAACATAAAGTTTACCACTTTAACCATTTTAAGCATATAGTTCTGTGGCATTAAGCACATTCGCATGTTGTACAACCATCACCACCATCCATCTCCAGAATTCTTTTCATCCTCCCAAACTGAAACTCTGTATCCTTTAAACAATAACTCTCCATTTCTTTTTTCCCTGTCCCTGGCAACTTTTATTCTACTTTCTGTCTTTATGAATTTGACTACTGTAGGGACCTCATATAAGTGAAATTGTACAATATCTGACCTTATGTTACCAGCTTATTTCGCTTGGCATAATGTCTTCAAGGATCATGCTATAGCAATGTCAGAATTTCCTTCCTGTTTAAGGCTGAGTAATATTCCATTGCATGTATATCCATTCCTCTGTTGATGAATACTTGGGTTGCTTTTGCCTTTTGGCTACAGTAACCAATGGTGCTATGAACATGAGTGTACAATTATCTATTTACATCCCTGTCTCAGTTATTTTGGGTATGTATCTGGAAGTAGTATTGCTGGGCCATATGGTAGTTTTATGTTTAATTTTTTGAGGAATCATAGTACCATTTTCTACAGTGGCTGCACCATTTTACATTCCCACCAGCAATGCACACAAGTTTCCATTTCTCCACATCCTTGCCAAGTTGTTTATATTTGATTTAAAAAAAACATGTTATTTGATAATAGCCATCCTAATTGGTATGAAATGTGTCTTATTGTGATTTGCATTTCCCTAATGACTAGTGATGTTGAGCATCTTTTCATGTATTTGCCATTTGTATATCTTCTTTGAAGAAATGTCTATTTGAGCACTTTGGCCATTTTTTAATTGAGTTGTTTTTTATTATTGAGTTGTAGGAGTCTTTAAATATTTTAAATATCGATCCCTTATCAGATATCATTTGCAAATGTATTCTCCCATTCTGTGAGTTGCCTTTGCACTCTATTAATAGTGCCTTTTGATACACCAAGTTTTAAATTTCAATTAAGTTCAATTTATCTATTTTTTTCTTTTGTTGCCTATAGTTTTGGTATTGTATCCAAGAAATTCTTGCCAAATACAGTGTCATGAAACTTTTTCTTATGTTTTCTCCTAGCTCTTACATTTAGTTCTTTGATCTATTTTAAATTAAATTTTTATATCTATAAAAATTAAATTTTTTATATGGTATAAAGTTAAATTTTTTATATGGTATGAAGTAAGGGTCTAACTTTATTATTATTATTTTTGCGTGTGGATATGTAGTTTTCCTAACACCATTTGTTGAAAAGACTGTCCATTCCCCATTGAATGATCTTAGTAACCTTGTCAAAGACCATTTGACCATATATATGAAGGTTTATTTCCGAATTTTCTACTCTCTTCCACTGGTCTATATATTTTCTTTAAGCTAGTACCACACTGTTTTCATTACTATAGTTTTATAGTTAAGTTTTGAAATGAGGAAATATGAGACCTCAAATTTTGTTCTTTTTTTTTCAAGATTATTTTGGCTATTTGAGGTCTCTTGAGATTTCATATCAATTTTTGGATGGATTTTTCTATTTCTGCAAAAAAAAAAGTCAGTGGGATTTTGACAGGGATTGCATTGAATTTGGAGATGACATTGGGTAGCATATTGACATCTTAACGATATTAAGTACACTTGAGAAAACTGTATATTCTGCTGCTGTTGGGTGGAGTGATCTGTATATGTCTATCAGGTCCACTTGGTCAAGAATGTTGTCTTTCATTTCCTTACTGACCTTCTGTCTGTCTGTTCTAGGCATTTTTGAAAATAGGGTATTAAGGTCTCTTACTATTATTGTAGATTTGTTTATTTCTCCCTTTTATTCTGTCGATGTTTCTTTCATGTACTTGAGAGCTCTCATGTTTGGTGCATATATGTTTATATTATAATTGTTATATCTTCCTAGTGAATTGGCCATTTTAATATAATGTCTTTGTCTCTTGTAACAATTTGTGATTCAAAGTATATTTTGTCTGATATTATTCTCTTTTGATTACTATTTTCATGAAATATCTTTTTCTGTCCTTTTTCTTTCAACCTATGTGTGTCCTTAAAGCTACAGTGCATCTCTTGTAGACATATATAGTTGGATCCTGTCCCCCTTTCCCATTCTTCCAGTCTATAACTTTTGATTGGGGAGTTTAATTCATTTACATGTGAAGTAATTACTGATAGGTAAGCATTTACTTTTGCCATTTTGCTGTTTTCTGTTTGTCTTATAGCTTTTTTGTTCCTCTTTTCCTCCATTCCTGTTTCATTGAGTTTTTGTAGTGATGCATTTTCATTCCCTTCACATATCCTTTTATGTGTTATTCTATAGACATTTTCTTGTTGTTCATAATGGGGATTACATATAACATTCTAAACTTATGATAATCTACTTTATTGTTTATTGCTACTAATTTAACTTCAGTCACATACAAACACTATTCCTTTACAGCTCCACTCACTCTTTATGTTACTGATGTTACAAATTACATCTTTAAATATTGTGTACCCATTAATATAGATTTATAGTTACTTTTGTGCACTTACCTTTTAAATGCTTCTTTCACACAATAAAGACAAGCTTTGCACTAATG